TGGGGGGTTTGGCCACCGGCAGGGGCGGCCCCTAGGCTGTAATTGGTCTTTAGTTTTGTGCCTAGCGTCCTTCTCCTGCAGGTGGCGATATTACCCTACCATTCAGGATCTACGATCTGTTGCCTGTGTCCTTCAATGAACGGGAGAGAAATTAACCTTCCTGCGGGTAATCCAGAGTGTGGCTTGGGGTTAATTTTCAGTACCAAAAGCGGTAACCCCGAGCCACCCTCGGGATTACACTGCGCGTCACTTACCTTGTCCCTCCAAACCCCGCTGTGTCCTCCGGCCAATGCCGGCATCCGTCTTGCGTCCCTTGCGAGCGCCTGCGTCGCAAGGGGTGGAATCGGCAGGAAACTCAAAAGTAAAAAAATAGAAAAAATAATAAAAATAAAATAAAGAGATAAATCAGACCTCCAGGGAGGTTAAAAATAAAATTGATAAATAAAAAATGTCTAAAAATAAAAAAAACAAAAATCCCCCCCCCACAGTGCAGGATTTTTTTTCTTTTATAAAAAAACATTAATTTAACGGTGGCAGCGCATGTCAAAGCTTTGTGACGTATTGCCGTGCGTTGTGATACCTTGTGTTGCAATTAAGTATACGCCTGTTTCATTTTAATCACAACACCAACACAGAGCAAAAACGAATTTTAACATACGTCGTCACTGCTGCTCCGGTGGGCGGCGCTCCGAGCGGGGTCATCTGGCAGTCTCCGGCCACCTAAATTAGGACCCGGAGACTGCCAGATAACCCCGCTTGGAGCGCCGCACACCGGAGCAGCAGTGACGCGACGCTCGGCGAGGTAAGTAAGATGATACCTGGCGCTAACTCGAGTATAAGCCGAGGGGGGCACTTTTCACCCAAAAAAATGGGCTGAAAATCTCGGCTTATACTCGAGTATATACGGTATTTAGAGTTTTGCATTCCTTCATTTTTTTTACCTTTTTGCAAAAAGGCACAATTTAAAACTTGCAAATATTTGTTATTTATTAACTCAATACAGTTTTATCTTTTAGATTTAGTCGGAAAATATTTTTTTGTGTGCACTGATAATGATTTTAGTGTGCTTTATCAATTGAATTGTGTATTTTTATTGGTTTAATATTAATTTGAGAAACATTTGAGCAATTATTACAGGGCCTACAAATTTAGTAGTACCCTCTTTTTATTCTACTGGGCCTGTGCTTTCAGAAAATATATGGTTTGGGGGTTCTTTTACAAACGCTAGCAAAACAGCAGTCGAAAATCAAATCAATGGGAAAAATAGCAAAAATGGTGTGGCCAGCTGAGATGCAAAGCCTTCAGGAGGGCTTGGCAGCGAAAGGATTAAATGGCCAGGGAGGAGAAAAGCCGGTTCAGCTGCCTCTCTGAATGCCCGCTTCAATAGTTGGGCTCCTCGGCGGCCACCTTCCTCTGCTCACTTCAGCTGCTATGAGCTGGGAGAAAGACTACACCACCACCATTGGCCGGCTGACAGCAGGAGAGCAGGTCCTAGGGAACAAGAAGGTGGCTGGAGGCATCATGTTGGACTGGAGGCTTCACATAAGAACAGGTAACATTGCTGCCCACCCCCCTAATCACCACCAGGATAGAAAGAGAGCAGAGCATCTGAATTAGATCAGACGATCTATGTGCACTGTAAATACTTTTCATTCTGCGTCCCACCTCTGCACTCTGCGTCACACCGCTGACCTCCACACCCTGCGTTATTACTGACCTCTGCAATTTAATTTTTCAAATTGATTCGACTGCATTAGGTCCCGCGCAGCAGCCTTCTGGGGAACCACGCAACACCTGCTTACAGGGCTTCCGCTGCCTACACATCTCCCCCTCCTGAGACCCTTTGCCGGGACATCAGACCTGTACTCCGTGGCAGAGTGGCAGCACAGAATATATACCAAACAATACTATTATTCTGCATTGTTGTATAATGTATTGCTGGGATTTGTAGTCCTCTATAGCTGATGGTATTATTCTTCAGTGGCAGAACTACCGGGGGTTGCAGCTGTGACCGGCCCCTGGCGCTTCACCAATGTCCTAAAATCATTAGTCTGCATTGTTTTAGAAAAACTATCACATGTCACTAAAAAAAAGGCATCAGTAATTGGTATCGGCAAGCACTTGAGGTCTAGAAAAAATGGTATTGGTGGATCTCTACTCCCATCCATGCCTGTACTGAGGTACAGACAAGTTGTAATATGGATGGGAGGCAGAGTTAAATGACTACAAGTGTGGTGCATAGGCAGCCGTCTGAGGGCACCGGGGGGGTGGTGCAAAAATGCACCTTCGCCTGTGCAGGCAAAAATCCTTGCATCAGCCCTGCTTAAAGACCATATTCAGAGAGTAGTGATTAATGATTCATACTCTAAATGGTGTAAATCTGTTAGTGATGTACCAAGGTTCAGTGTTGGGACCCTTACTGTTTAATTTATTTATAAATGGTATAGAGATTGGGAGTACCATTTCTGTGTTTGCAGATGACACCCAGCTACAAAAATACAGTCCTTACAAAATGTCTCCAACTTAAAAACAGACCTGAATGTATTGTTTGATTAGGCATCTATTTGGCAAATTAAGTTTAATGTCGATAAATGTAGATGTAAAGTTATGCACTTGGGGATTAAAAACATGCATGCATCATACACTCTAGGAGGAGTCCAATTGGGGAAGTCAGGGGGTCTGAAGAATTGTGCATGTCCCCAAAAACACGTTCAGCCACTGTGAGACACTTGCCTCGCGGCGGACCGTAGAGAACAATCATGGGGCGTCTGGCCGCCCTTCCCTCTTCCCGCCGCTGGCTAATCACGGGGCGCCTAGCCGCCCTTCCTTCGTCCGGGCTGTCAGCCTTAAGCCGCGGTCTTTGAATTGTGCGGCATCCTATTACAAACGCGACGCTCAACAATTCCTTCTGTGCACCACCCGCCTATCCTTGTCCCTACACTAACCTGTCAGGTGGTTACTGACAGTCTGCCACAGCACCTCAGACCAGCACAGTGAATCCAGCTCCTGGGAGAGTAAAATCATCAGTGTGGGAAAAGCTGCAACCACATCCATATTGATGCCACGCTGCTGCACTTGAATCATTAATCCTTGAGAGTGGAGCAAGACTGAGCTACGAAACTGCAAGTACCTTCTAAACACTCTTGTGACCCAGTGCATTCCTGTGTGTTGGACTTTATATTCCTAGTTCTTGAGTGCAACCTCTCGCCCTCTATTGACTATACAATATCCATATCAGGGTTTTGCTGTGTGTGGAAGATATTGGACTATGTAGACTGAGCCGTATACGGGAATATGGTATGAAGTAATAACCTCTTAAACCCTGCTGGCCAAGGACTTTAATGGCTAATCCCGCTAATGTATGATACATATAGACCCACAGGTTGATGGGGATACATGTTTGATGAACTTGTAATTTAATTTCATTGCTCATATCAACAAGGCTGCATTATATTGGAAGGCTTGTCTTGACCCCTGACTCTGCAGCCACTGCCTTAACACTCTGTTTTTCTGAGCAGCTAGTTCGAGTTCCATCTGACGGTTTCCATGACAGTTTGTGTGATCAGCTTATCTTTTAGGAGGTTCATCGTTTTTTTCCTTCACTCTATAGTTTGAACTCGATGGACCTGGTCTTTTTTCAACATAACTGTGTAACTATAAACACTTTATGAGAGATAAGTGTAGCCTGCAGTAACTAACCTCCTGGTAAAAAAATGTTAGTTGCCTGGCACTGGCAGTTGGTTTCAACTTTAACCATTTCATCCAGTATTTGTAAATAAACATCGGGGCGGGACACTCTTGAATGCGGGTGGACGTTTTAAAACGTCTGCACACACTCCCTTCACCTGGAAAATCAAATTGCTTCTTCATCAGCTACTTTGGGGTCTAATTGATCCCTGATGTCTCCATAAAGAGGACCTGAAACATCATCTTTGCTATCACATAGGGGCCTTGTTATCCCCCTATGTGATAGCAATAAATTGAAGTGTAAAAAAAAAAAAAAAGCCCACAAAATGTTTTTCACACATTAAAAAAAAAAACGTATTTTTTTCTACTTAAGTCCCTTGCCCCCACGCCCCACATACATGCACATAGGCATGTGTTAGGTGTGCCCATGTGCGGAAACGACAATTGCACCACAAGTTACATATCACTGCGAAAGTCGTAGGCAAATAACACTAAACTGATGTGCGATAAAAGCTTTTAAAGCGTTGCCTATGGCCAATTTTCCCAACATAACGTAGGGAAAACAGTTTATTTTATTTTAAATGTTCTGCCCTTTTTTCCTTATAAGTAAAAAATAAAAAAAACACAGTGGTGATTAAATAGCACCAAAAGAAAGCTCTATCTGTCCAAATTAAATACAATTAATTGCGGTACAGCGATGCATGACTAATTAAATGTCAAAGTACTGCAGCGCTGAATATTGAAAAATGGGGCCCTCTTCCCCCCAAAAAAAGGAAGATATGGGACACCTCTTCATAGCACCGAACTAGGTTCCAGATAATGGAGGAGTGGGAGGAGGACCAGCTGTGAGTGAATTAGGTTTTAACCCTTTCACTGCCAAGCCCTCCGGAACACTTTACACCTCAGCTGGCCACACCATTTTTGCAATTTTTCCCATTGTCCCAAACCATATATTTTCTGAAAGCACAGGCCTGGTACAATAAAAGATGGTGCTACTAAATTTGTAGGCCCTGTGACAATTGTGCATATATTTATCAAATCAATGTCAAACCGATAAAAATACACAATTCAATTGATAAAGCACACTAAAATCAGTATCAGTGCACAAAAAAATTCCAACTAAATCTAAAAGATAAAACTGTATTGAGTTAATGACAAATATTTGTACATTTTAAAATGCGCCTTTTTGCAAAATGGTAAAAAAAAAATTAAGGAATGCAAAACTGTAAAAAAGTGACATGTTAAAAATTGTTTTTGCGCTGTGTTGGTGTTGTGATAAAATGATACAGGCGTACATGTAATTGCAACACAGCGTATAACAACGCATGGCAATGCGTCACAATGCTTTGCCATGTGTTGCCACAGTTAATGTTATTTTAAAAAGAAAAATCAAGCACTGTGATGCGTTCTAACATGTGCATGGCGTACACCACAATATGGTTCATGTGTATGTTATGTGTGTGTGGGAGTTTGTTTTTTATTTTGATTTATTTAATTTTTTTATTATTTACAAATTTCATTTTTTTTATTTTATTCTTTTTTTTCTTGTGGTGGTGGTGGTGGTTTGATTGCAGCCTCTGTTCTAAATGAAGGGAAAGCCCTCAGTACAGAGTATACCCATTCATTCAGAAACTGTTGATAGTAAAATATTTACTATCAACAGGTTCTGAACGGGGAGAAGCCTCTGTAGTCAGTGCTTCTCCCCATTGAGAAATTCATGAATGAACAGAAGTGATGTAAATCATGTGTCCCCAGTTATTTACAAATATTGGAGTGATCAGATGATCACTCCAGTGTTTGCTCTGCACAGGGAATCCGTAAATATCACTGATATTTACCGATCCTCCGCTCGGCCAAGCACACAGCCGCTGTCATCCTGAAACTGACAGCATAACAGCGGCTCCTCTCTCCACCTCGCTCGCTGCTCTCTCATGCCGTTCGACCATTGTGATCGAGCGGCTCACTCTTCCGCCCCCCCAGCCGGCCATTTCTATTCAGATCCCCGCTGCCTCACCCCATACGAGATGCTGGCAGCCGGTGGCAGTGGTGCCGGTGGGGGGCCGCCTGGAATTTTCATTAATAGCTGTCATCAGCGGCTTGTCAGCCGTTGATGACAGCTATTAATTTAAAGAGGTCCATCAGGGGAACTGCTCTGCGACCATGAGCTAATAGCAGAATGGTAAATGCCACCAACGTAAGGCTTACAGACCTGGCAGTCTGGGAACAGTTTTGTTCCGCTGTATGGCTTACGTTGGTGGCAGGGAAAGGGTAAAAATGCTGTAAATATTTTCTTGTCTTGAAGACACTGCAGTTTGGCTTGTTCTGCTTGAACTCTGGATGGTCCTGAGCTGCAACTGACTAAATGCCAGTGAGAAAAATTAGGACCTCATTCCAAATCCCTTACACTACGCCAAAAACGTTTCTGTTTAAGAGCCGAGTTGGTTCTGTCTGTTCTCAAACCCCTAGGCTGAGCTGTTGTTTTGTACCTAGTGTCCTACTGCTGCATGTGTCACTATAACTCAATTGTGAAGAACAGAAAGCTATGTCACTCAATGAATGAAAGAGAAAACACATGTTTATTTATAACTACTAAGCTATCAGCTGATCATAACTGTTTTAGAAGCTAGTTATGTCAAATTTCATAGCAGTATTGCATATGAAATATGCATCTATATTACATATGCCGGCTCTAGAGGGCCACTGAACTTTACTGTGCATCTATGATCTCTCATAACAACTGATGTGTAATATATAATTTACAGCAAGGATTGACCCAGGAAAATATGCCTAATATGCGGAAAGGAGTCCAAGGCTGCAACACTTCAAAAATAATTGATTAAGTCCAAGAAGAGTAAGGGCCCAAAACAGATGTAATTGTTACAATGTCTGTTGCGCTTCTTGGATGAAACAAACATTCAATTTCTGCAAAGGGCAGTATTGCTAGAAGATGTATTATAACACAACAAATGTAGTTTTCTTTCAAAGGACAATCAAATGAGATAATTATAATAATGAGATAATGTGTTTTAGGTCTACAAAACATGCCAGGTCTATACAAATAATGTATTAAGACATAACACTTACCAATTTGAAGCTGCAAATATAGAACATAGCAAACTGCACATGGCAGGATGCATGGGTAGGTAAAACCAATTTGTCAAATACAGCCAGCAGATCTTTGTATAAATCCTTTGTCTTATTTAAGTCCAGGCTGCCTGCAAGATACACCCATGAATTTAATTTAGATCTGTTCAAACACAATTTCAGTAAAGTGATAAACAGTATAATCAGTACTGTACTACCTCCTTTTATACACACTTCAATTAGGTGATTTAGAGCACACACGATTTTGGGTCACTGGTTGACAGTTGGTACCATATCCCACCAGGGATTCTCATCTGCATCAAATGGTGGGATATGGTATGGTGTTCAATCAACTGCAGCTTCAGATTAACAAGCCAACTTATAGATCAAGAAAGTGCACAACATGTAAACGAGCTGTGAATTGAATCATTAATCATTGAATCAGAAAAACAAGCGCTTTCGGGACTGTGCAGGGTCCCTTCATAAGGCGCTTGTTTTTCTGACAAGGAATGGCAAATAAATGAACATTTTTTCTATCCTAAAAGGATTTGGTGTGCTGGTGACATTTCTATATAGTGCATTTTCTGCCCGCCTACTATATGTTATGTGTTCCCATTCATATAGCACGCCCAATTCACATTTACAAAGTATTTCTTACTTTTCTAAGGGCTTATTTACACCTAATCCAGTGTGTTCCAGCACGGTTGGTAGCTGGAATGCACTGTATCGCATAATAAAATGTTCCCTGTGTTCTGGGGCAGGAGGGGGCCTGGAGATACATTCAAGTCAATGGCACCACAGCCGTGTCTCCTGCCTTGCAGTGCATTTAACTGCACCAGCACACATGGCACAACAATGCCCATGGTGCAGTGCAATCACAAAAAATAGGTCATGCATGCACGCAGGGAGAATTTTATTATGCGATCTAGTGCATTCCAGCTACTAACCGTGCAAAGTGAGAGATATGCAATGCACCAGCCAAACCTGAGATCATTAACCCTTTGTTAGTACAGACAGTCCTGTACATCTGATCATGAGCCAGTACACACAGGGTTAATTATAGTGACCATTACTTCCAGCCCCATCCCTAACATTACATTCAATTGGGAAATATAAGGCCTTGTTCACACCAAATGCAGAGCAGATCCGGTCAGGTTTCTGCACACGCACACTAGTCTTTTAGATGCGTTTAACATGGGCTTTCAGTGCGTTCCAGGCATTTGCATGCGTTTTTGATGCGTTTGCAGATCCAGAGCAGGTAAAATAGGGCCTGCTGCAGTTTTTTTACCTGCTCTGGATCTGCACACTGCGATGTGAACTGGAGCTCAAAATACCATAGGAATACATTGGACGCAGTTTTGATCCGGTCTGCACCTGCTCTACTCTGGATCTGCTCCGCGCTTGGTGTGAACTAGCCCTTCTTTATTCAACCTCAAATACTATGTAACTATGTAACTATGTAAATCGCAAAAAACTACCATACTCAAAATTGACCATAGCCGACGCTTTAAAAGCTTTTACCGCTCATCAGTTTAGTGTTATCAGTGATTGATGACCCTAGAATCATTGCTCTCATTCCGACTATTATTGCTTGATTATTGTTCTCATTCCGACATTGCGCCGCACATGTAACATGTGCGGCGCAATGGATGTAATCGGCATTTTCGCACATAGGCGGGCTTGACGCATGTTTGCGTGTGCATGTGGGGGTGGCGGGGGACTTACATTTTTGTTTATTGCTTTGATATGTGATTTTTAAAAAATTTTTTGTAACAAATTTTTTTAAACCTTTTTTTTCCACTGAACTTTATTGCTATCACATAGGGAGCAAACAAGTTCCCTATGTGATAGCCAATTTGCAGTTACAGGTCTTCTTTATGGAGACATCAGGGGTCTTTAAGACCCCTAATGTCACAAAGGGACCCCCAGAGAAGCTGATGAAGCAGACCTGCTTCACCAGCTTCTCTCCGGTTTCTGTACCGGAAAGTGACACTGAAGGCAGGCAGTGATGTAATACACATCACTGCCTGCATTCAGAAGAGGAGATCAAATGGAGCTCGTGTACTGAGCTCCGTTTGATCTCCGGCCGCAGAGCTGCTGTGCTGGTCCCGGGCTCACACCGGGAACAGCGGAGCCCGGGATTGCCAGCAGCAGCGGCGACGGATCGCCAGCAGTAGCGGCAGCTTTGAATGTATACATTCAAAGCCGGTTTCCCGTTCGTGCACGCCGCTAGGCTAAAGACGCCCACCCGCCCTCAAGAAGCCGATGTCCGGCCGTTTAATTACAACGGCCGGACAGCAGGTGGTTAAACGGTTATGTTGTGTTAGGGAACATTTAACACATATAAAATAGGATTCTATTCCAATCTGGCTGCAAAAAAGTGCAAATAACTTCAGTCTTTGCCCCATGAATATTCACAGACTATGTGACACCTCCTGTGTTACAGTCAGAGCTGGGTTTGCAGTCTGACACTACCAGTGGTCAAGGGGCAGCTGCTTTGGGCCCCACAGCAATGACTGGGCCCGAGGCACCTGCCCTTTTTGCCCTGCCTTTGTCCACCCGCGCATGTGCAGAATGCGCGGGTGGACAAATCCAAAATAGCATAAAAATTTTGTTTGAAGAAACTAATGAAAACATTTTTAGTTTCTGTTCATTTCATCCAAAACAATTTTTTAGTCACATTTTAAACACATTTTTAGTCTTTGCATATGTCTAATAATGTGTGTTTGTGTTTTTTTTTACTAAAGGGGGGTTCGGGGAAATATTAGGGGTCTAAACCCCTGGTATTACCCTTTTGAAATAGAAAACGAAAATTGCCATTCTGAGTGCTGAAGCCCCATGGTAGCTACAGCCCTGATTATAGGCCTTAAACAGGGGGAGGAGTGAAATAGATCCCAAGACCTCAGAGGGAAAGGGACTGGGATCCATTACCTCAGAGGGAAAAACCCAGAAATGGAGGAAGAATTCCAAATCAAAGAGAGGGTGTAGAGGAGGAAGGAAAGTTCAATTACAGAAAAGACAGGAGATGGTAGGAAAAGTAAAAAAAATGAAATCTAATTGGTTAGCGCACTCCTAGAGAGGTGTGTGATGTGTTATGGCCGGTGTGCGGCTCCTTATGTTGTTAGACCGAGGTGTCTAACTGTATAATACTGAACAGAATAAGAAAAACCGCAACAAACGGGCGCAGACTGTGTGAAAGTAAAATAACCAGGGAGTAACAATGAATCAAAGTGAATATAAGTGGGATTGAAATGGGGCTGTATAAAGGAAAGATTAAGGTGTGTGCGGGTGAAGGTGGACACGCGACAGCGGGGAGGCGGTTTTTATCGCACACAAGGATCGGTACCTGCCAGATTGTGAGATGTGATAAGCTGGGCGGCAACACGCTTCGAAGCGTGAGCTTTTTTTTCAAGCCGGGTAAGAAGAACTGACAGTTTTTGGCTGTTTTTATTTGAAGAGTGAGTGGGTGGGAGTGGCAGTCTCTGGGCGGGGAATGCAGAGACAAGCAGTGATTGGCTGTGGGCGGGGAACGCTTGTGCACAGGGAATTCTATGGCCAAGGAGGCTCAGTAGTCTTCAAAAAAGCAAAGAGCATAAAAAAACATTCTGGCCCCCAGTAAACTCAGGTTGACCAAATGCACTAACACTCTTTGATTTGACGACCGAACAGGAATGCACAAATGCAAAAAACCCAGATGTCTCACATGCCAGTTCATATCCCATTGACAAATGTAATTTCAGTACCACAAAGGAAACAAATTTCCCATCAAACAATTCATCACCTGCGCCCACACTCGTGGTATATGGCCTCAAATGCCCCTGTGGATACTCATACATAGGCCGAACAATTCGCCCACTCAGAACATGCATATGCGAACAAAGAAGATTCAAAGAACAAGGGAGTACCTACCATAGTGTTCCATGCCACTTTTTAGAAAAACACCAGAACCAAATGCAGGGACATCAAGTATTCGCAATAGAATACATCCCCGAAAATTACCAGCCCCCTTAAAGATTCCACCTACTCTGCAAACAAGAAACATACTGGATTTATAAACTGAATACCCTCAGCCCCATGGGCCCCAATGAGGGAATAGAAATCAGCACCTTCATCAAAGCGTATTGGCAGTCTCCTTTCTGTCGCTGCAGCATTCCACAGGCCCCATCGCTTGAACCCACCTCATCCCTTTTCTTCCACCACCTACTTCACACTTTCTTCCCCCTCGTACGGAGTCTCACTCCTCCTGTGTAAATTTCCATCCATGTTTTTCTGTCTACTGCCCTTTTCACACCATCACCATTCATTCAACTCACTTCAAAACTCTGCTGTCTCTGCATTCCCCACCCAGAGACTGCCACTCCCATCCCCTCACTCTTCAAATAAAAACAGCCAAAAACTGTCAGCTCTTCTTACCCGGCTTGAAAAAGAAGCTCACACTTCAAAGCGTGTTGCCATCCAGCTTATCACGTCTCACAATCCCAGGGCTTCGAGCAGGTACCTATCACTGTGTTCGATTAAAAAAAACGCCTTCCCCGCTGTCTTGTGCGTCCACCTCCACCCGTGCACGCCTTCCGTCTCTCCTTCATTCAGCCCCACTGTGTCCCCAGCTGCTGCCTCTTAATCTGACTCCAGAGACCGGAGACGTTCCCCCAAAACACTGCACACATGCTCCAGGCTCCACACATAGTCTCCCTCCACCGAGATCCCCAGATTACCTAAAGACCTTGCCTGATTCAACCTACACTGGTCTTCTCTCTCCCCTCTCCACCTTCCGCCCAGGTCACCAGGAAACAAAGATGCTGTCCTACCCAAGCGGCTGTCACTCTGCTCTCCTCTTCCTCATGCCTCCCCATCCTCCTCACCTTGTTGCCAGGACTACAGGATGCTTCTCCGGCCACTGCAAGCATTCAGTGGCCACCTCTCCTCCTCCTCTGTAAACCCCCCTCCTCATAACCAAGTCCACAGGACGCTTCTCCAGATAGAGCAGACACCCAGCGGCCATCTCTCCCTCCTCTCCCCTGCCTCACCCCACCCCCTGCTGCTTTCAACTGCAAACAAGGTTTACCACCCACACCTCTTAAAACAACCCGCAACTACTTAATTTTATTCAATTATTCATACTTTTTTGGAC